ATTTATATTCCCCACTTTTCCTCTACCCCAAATTATTGAAACTCACCTTGTTTATGTTGATCTAATGTCATCATTAGTGTAGTACTTCAAGTACACAACCCCTTCAGTGTAGTCCTTTATCTGTCTCCTTGACATTATGAGGGATCTCTTAGTTTGTTTCCTATAATCTTGTCTGGAAAGATAAGTATCTAAGGCAGTAAAAATTCTGTTATATACAAGCACACATGATTTGAGACAACCTTTTCTTCCTGGACTTCAATCCTGAGCTTGTCTTGGGCACTCAGACTGTTTCTAGAGGACTGAAGTTTAGGACTCTTTAGCTCTTAAAAATGGGGTGTTTCATTGTGCTGTGGTAGTGTCTTTTTTCTTTTAAAATGAAGTCATTATTAATAGATGCAAAGAAATGGAAAAATTTTCATTTTTGGGAAAGATTTTGAGACATATATGAGGAATTTGAAATATACTCAATATATCATTTGTTACATGAATATGACGGAACTGCTCTCCTTCTGAGTTTGAGTGCCATCCCCTATTCCCCTATGTCTTTGCTCAGGGGCCATTTTGAGGAATTGCACTTGGTTTTACAATAAACGCTTCCAGACTATTATGTTTCTCTCCCACCCTTTGCTTTCTATTTGCTATCATTTTAGGTTGTTTTGCACAGTCTCTGCTGTTTGAAGTGCTTCTGCATTTATAATAGTCAGCAGAACCATAAGTTGCTGGGTCAACCAGATAGCCATACCTGTTGTATTAGTAACCTGTCAGTGTGTGTGGAATTAAACCCCTAAACCCCTCTTTTCCAAGATATAGCACAAGAAATGCCAGAGTTCAGAGATGTGTGCATATGATGGACTCAGAATGAAGGTGCAGACAAATTTTTTGAAACCAGGGGAAGGGAGGGATGTAGCAGTAGTTTTAAAATAGTGCTATAACAGTACCGAAGGGGCGATGCCAAAGACAGTACTAATGGGCAGTGCCATGGTGGGGGTAAAAAACAGGTCACTGTCCCTGGGTTCTCACCTGTGCTCTCAATTGTAAGACACCATTCAGACTCAGGACCAAACAACAACAGGGTTTATTTAACAATCAGTAGATTGGGAAAAGGAAACACTCTCTAAGGCCACAGGTGGCTGCCTGTCTTACCCCAGATAGTGTCTATAATGTCCAGTAATCCCCCAAAAAGGACACATGTACCAGATAGTGCTGTCCTGTCAATGAGGGCCAGGAACTGGTGACATCACAGCAGCCCACAGCAACAATCTGAAGGCTGACTGGACAGTACCAGGTGCCGAACTAAATAGCAATGGACTCAACAGCACCAGAAGGTGGTGCTGGAGTCCAGAGTTAGTCAACAGCTCTGAAATGTGGCTGGACAGAGTGCCAGATCTGTAGTGCTGGTCAACACCTGTCATCAGGAGGCAGTTCAGAGACACCAGTGCTACAGCTTTTTGTGAACTATTGGTATGAACCAATAGCCAACAACTCTTTGAGACACTAGGCTGAGGTTAACGGTGCTCCTTGCAGGTGATATCAGAGGTAGGAACAGAGGAGGTGCAGCAGTTGGGGGTCTGGAAATGTGGAAGTCTACAGGGATCTGCAAAGTCTGCTAAATCCCACAGAGTTTGTCTGCTGAATTTTGCTTCTTTAGAGGCTGCCTGCTGTTTTTTTGGAGGCTGGCTGCTGAGTGAGTCAAGCTGGTTCTTGTTCTGCCTTATATCCTCTTCAGGGTCCCCCACCCTATGAGCCTGATTGGATCATTTTTCAATTCTAAACATCTGTTTGGTCCAGTTAGCACCAATCAGCTTCCTTCCATTTTCAATCTGGATAATTAACTTGAGGCTTGAGTGACAGCTGGAGAGCTTGAACCCAATTTGTCCCTTTATGATCCTGGAGCCAGATACAGAGAGGAAAAGCCTGGCACCTGCCTAGACTAGTCTGCACTCAGGTCAGGGCAGGCTTGTGGGACAAAGGCCTCCAAAGAAGCATGGCTGAGGCCAGAAGCACACTGAACTTCCCTGGGGCAGGGTTTGACAATTTGTAGGGTCCTGCAGTAGTGCTGCAGGGTTCCAATGACTGGGGGGTAGCTGCCACTGGTATTGCTTTCAATTTGGGGTAACTCAGTAAGTGGGATCATAATATGGGAAGGGAAAAGCTTGAAGGTTTTCTAGAAACTCTTGGTCTCTTGCAGTCACCAAGGGCTACTTCTACCTTCCAGCACCTTCTAGTACCTTCTAGCACCCTTTGCATGGGGTGTCATTCCCTGGATGGTATGGTGAGTAAACACCTAAAGATCCTAAAGAGGGGCCTCCCCGGTGGCGCAGCGGTTGAGCGCTGGGTTGCTAAGCTGCCCGCAGCCTCTGTAGCGCCGGTTCGATCCCCGGCTGCTCCCTGGCCACCAGAGGAGGGTCCCACATGGCGCGCAGACCTCCCCTGCCGCCCGCTGCTCCCCTCAGCAGTGTACTTCGGTCCTTCTGCCTGCTCTGCTCCCCGCCCTGGCTCTGGTGAATTCTCTCACCCTCCCGCACTTCTGACTTTACCCAGTGCTTGTATAATTAAATAAATGAATAAATAAATAAATCTTTAAAAAAAAAAAAGATCCTAAAGAGCAAGCTTTCTGGACATTTGGGGAGCGGTTTCAAACATCTATACATTAATTGAAGAACCTAAGATAATGAAGCAGTTTTACTCACCCACCTTTACTTCTTTTTTTTTTTTTTTTTTTTATAGAGGCATGTTTTATTTATTTTGTTTTGTTCGTTTGTTTGTTTTGTTTATACATGCACTGGGTACAGTCAGAAGTGCGGGAGGGCGAGAGAATTCACCAGAGCCAGAGCGGGGAGCAGAGCAGGCAGAAGGACCGAAGTACACTGCTGAGGGGAGCAGCGGGCGGCAGGAGAGGTCTGCTCGCCATGTGGGACCCTCCTCCGGTGGCCGGGAAGCAGCCGGGGATCGAACCGGCACCACAGAGGCCGCGGGCAGCTTCGCAACCCAACGCTCAACCGCTGCGCCACCGGGGAGGCCCCCCACCTTTACTTCTTTACACCCTTTTAATCTCTGCCTTCACCATTTTCCCTTTTTATGTTATCTGCCTTTCACAAATATTTGCCAAAAACATTTCTTTCAAGGATGAAAACCTGAAGGCATGCCATCAATCCTGAAACATTGAGGGTGCTCAATATGGCTTATTCTGGGGAACAAAACCACCCTTATTTTATGTAATTAGCTGCAGTTCATGAAGCAAGGAGCAGGTTGAGGAGGGGGCCTGGCACAAGGTGGAGTTAATATTACAATGAACACCCTTGTGGAGTGGCATATTTATGAAGTGCTTTCTGTCAAGATTGTGCTGGGGGTGGTAAGTCAGCATCCTATGTTTCAGACAAGGTATGTGAGATAGAGATTATTCAGGAGTTCCTGGGTCTTTGCCACCTTAATATTCATCCTGTGTTCTTCCTTCCCTGGCCTAGTCAGGCCCCTAGATATCTTAAACTCCCTGGCCCACACCTTTCCTTTCCCTTTATACCACCACTATCCTGATTTCTACTCCCACGCTGGACTCAGCTTCCTAGCACACATCTGCTATGTGCACCATTTTCTCTCTCTCCTTCTTTCTAACTTTTTTAGGTCACTTAAGCCCCTTAAGCATTCAGTTTCAATGCTGTCTTTTCAGGTTGAGAACAGAGTTTTGTTTTTTTTTCAAGGTAGGAGCCTTGTACAAAGATAGTGGTAGACTGGGGATTTCTTAGCTTTTTCAGTTGCATCTTGAGTTAAAATAAATTGATCAACAGGAGGTGACTGAAGGCTTGGAAACCACCAGGTTCACATTAGAGAGGTACCCATTGTCTGAGCTGTGCGTACAGGAGACCCCAAGGATGGGCTTATGGTGGTGGTTGTGCTGGGCAGAGGATGTCTTGGAGGGAGCTGGCCAGTGTGTGAGAGCAGGCCTGAACTTGGGCTTCCTCTGGGAAGGAGAGAGAGGCTTGGGCCCTGAGTGGCAGGCTGCTAGGTGAATGAGCATATATTGATAGTGATGGTCCAATGCAGGGTGTGGTCAAAGCAACCATCTCTTTTCTTCTTCCTTCCTGTACCTGTTCCTTTCAAATGGAGGAAAGATGGTTATTAATAGTAAGACCCAGGAACAGCCTGACCCAGCCCTGAGACTGAGGAGGGTCCCCAGGGCTGTCCTTGGAAGGTGATAACAAAAGATTCCATATATGGGACTAATTCCTTTTCTCTTGGAAATGATTTTGGTGATGGTGGTTATGGGCTAAGGGGAGTCCAAGTCTGGTCAAAGTGCTTATTTATCTTTGTGTTAATCTGTAATATACTCTGGAGTACTGATTATCTGTCAGGCACCATGCTGTGGGTTTTAGCCATTTAATCTCAAGTCAAGCCTATGGTAGGGACCATAATAATCTACACCTTACACATAAACTGAGGCTCTGTTGTCTCTTAATTATTACCCAGTTGGTGAGTGCCAGGACCCATGATCTGGAGAAGCTTTTTCTCACCTTCACTGTTCTGAAGCCAAGGCTGGGATTCAAAGCAGGGATGGAAGCTGAGGATCAAGACCACAGATGCCAAGTCGCCTCTTGTTTTTTCCTTTTTCTTGTTGATGCTACTCTGTGGTTACCCGATCCCTCAGTTCATTCTGGAGGTGAACACCTCTTCTTGGAGCTTGCTCAGTCCAGTTTGACTATCTCCAAATTTCTGTTTGGCTCTGTCCCTTCATCTCACCAGCTGTGCAGGCAAACTTCTGGTTTCACTGGCCATGAACCATGGATCATGATCGTGTCCTCATAGCCGTTGTGGGAATACGATGTGGAAAGGATGGAATTTTTTTTTTTTACGGGTACCAAATTGCTTTATTTGAAGGAATGGTAAAAGATAACAGCTATAAGTAGATGTTTTGGTACAACTTATAGAAAAGGTAAAGGTAACCCCAACATGCATGCACAGCCTTGGTGACCAGGAAAGTCACCCCCTGGCTATGAGAAGCCACCCTAAGACTTAGCTTCGCTCTTGTCACTGTCTCCCAGGGTGTGCTTGTCAAAGAGATACTCGGCCATGCCAGATTCGGGGGCCCCCATCTTGCGCAAGTTGGTTCCATGGTCACCCAGTTCTTTGATGGATTTCACCTGCTCATCCAGGTAATGAGTCTCCAGGAAGTCACACAAATGGGGGTTGTTTTTGTCAGTAGCCAGTTTGTGCAGCTCCAGTAGTGACTGATTCACGCTCTTTTCCAAGTGTAAGGCGCACTCCATTGCATTCAGCCCGTCCTCCCAGTCATCGCCGTTGGGTTTCTTGATGTCCTGAAGGAAGATGCGGCCACCTCGTTGGTTCTGCAGCTTCATCAGTTTCTCAGCATGTTCCCTCTCCTCATGAGATTGGTGAAGAAAATATTTGGCAAAATTCTTCAAAGCCACATCATCACGGTCAAAGTAGTAAGACATGAACAGGTAGACGTAGGAGGCGTAGAGTTCCAGGTTGATCTGGCGGTTGTTGGCGGCCTCCGAGTCCTGGTGGTAGTTCTGGAGCACCTGCCAGGGGGACTGATCCCACGGTGGGAGCAGCGGGGGCGGGGAGGGGTAGTGGGGGAAAGAGGTGGGGGAAAGAGGTGGGGGACGAGCGGGTTCCGTCCAAGCACTGTTGAATCTCCGCGAAGGCTGTCAGGATGGAATTTTTTTTAAAGGGGACAAATGTGAAGCATGTTGGGCAGGCACTCTGGAGCTGTGCTTGTCAGGAGCTTATGAAACTATAAAAAGGAATGGAGGGAGGCCCATGCCATTGTGGCCACCCTCCCACTGGTAGACCCTGAGTGTCATCAGGACAAACCAGTTGTAGGGCTTTTCCAGGTCAAGGGGAGGAAGGCTTTGGGAAAAACTAGGTTTGCTGGGTTTGGCGCTCTGGGCTAGAGGACTTCACCCAAGCTCTCTGTGGGATATCCATGTCTAACGATATGCTATTGGTGTTCTGGGAATGTTCTGGTTACTGGTAAGGGGATACTGTCAAGGTTGGGGTGTGTGTGTGTGTGTGTCTGTGTGAATGTATGCATGTGGGAGCATGCACGAATCTACTTTCATCTAAGGGGATTACTGAAGTTAGTCATTTGACTGACAATGGTACGTGCAGGCTGTGTGCTCCTGGTTGTTTGAGGCTAGAACCCTGCATAGGGTAGTTTTGTAAATACAGCAAGTGGCTCACCAGGGTCAGGGTTCTGGAGGCCATATAATCCATAACAGCTGCATGCTCTGTTGGTTTAAAGAGCATCATTTTGTTCATTTTTGAAAGTCTGGATAGTCATATCCCAAATATCACAACCCAGTATGTAGAAAGAAATGGGTGGTAAATTTGGTTCAGGTTTTATCTAGTTATTTCAGAACTTTTATTATTTAAATCTTATAACATTTTCACATATGTAAATTTCTTTGCTCCTGCTTAAATGTTTGCATAAACTCCATCCTATCGGGTTAATAGAACTCTTTTTTCAAGCTAGGTAGTACTGCTTTTCTCCCCTTTGCATCCTCCATTTCTCTCTGTAAAGTAATTGAGAATGGTTTTTATGGTCAAGATCTTTCTTTCTTGTCCCTCTAAGGAAGGACTTCTGTGCTTGCATTCAGAGTCAAAAGAAGAAAGACTCCGAAATCTGTACAAAGCAGAAACATGGCTCCTGACATGAATAGTTTTCAGTCAAAACAAGATCCTCCCAAAAATGAAGGCCAACAGATGAATTGCATTTGCACTGGAACTACATTCTCAGATGTTAATTGACTATGAAGGTTTTTTTCCCCCAGCCTGCCATCTCCTTAGGTAACTCGGTGTACATCCTGGCAGTTGTAGCCATTTAGCAAGTAAGAAAATCTCAAACTAAACAATTAGGCAGCAGTAAAAATTTTAAGACACACATAAGTCATTTTTGGATTAAGTTTGGATTATCCAACTTAGTGTTTCTCCTTCTTTAAAGCTTATAAAATGTCTTCATAGTAGCTCAGATGAATGCAGTAAGTTATGGTTTAATCACCTTTTGGACCCATTAATTTGTCATCTGAATATGTGACCTGACTTTGCGTGGTCATCTCCCAACTGTATGTAGTTGGCCCCTGTGGGACCAGCCAGTGGTGGGTGGTTGAATGGGCACAGATTCAACCTCTCTTTGGGGAGAACAATTTATCATTGTGGCATATCTCACTTTCTTTCTGTAGGTATGGGGATATCGTGAATCCATCCATCCATCCATCCATCCATCCATCCATCCATCCATCCATCCATCCATCCATCCATCCATCCATCCATTCATCCATCCATCTATCCATCCACTCAGTCAGCCACCCAACAAACATTTGAAGGTGCCATAATGAGCTGGCAGATCAAGTTTAGTGGAGGAGCCAATAGTCCCAGGATGTTGAAAGCTATTTATTTATTTATTTATTTTTTGTGGGACCCTCGCCAGCGGCGGGGAAACAAACCGGCGCTGCAGAGGCTGTGCAAAACCTCGCAGCCCAGCACTCAACCGCTGCGCCTCCAGGGGAGGCCCGAAAGAAGCTTGTTTTGAGCACACTGCTGGATGTCTGGGGCAGTCTCTAGATTGGAAGGGGAGGGTATAATTTAAGTTAAATGATATCATGAGTAAACTCATTGAGGTTTAATTTACCTATAGTGGTAAAATGAACAAATCTTAAGTGTACAACTTAGTGACCTTTCACAAGTGTATGTATATATAAGCGTGATCACCGGAACACTTCCGTCATCCCAGAAAATACCCTTCTAGTCAATCCTCCCTGACCCTACTCCTAAAGATAACCACTGTTGGGAATTAGTACCTTTCAGGGGAATGGAGTAACTCCAGCTCTTTTTTGCCTTCCTGCCACTAGCTTCTATGGCTTCCACCTGTGCCTTTGCTTGGCCCCTAGGTTTTATTACCCACACGTGATAATGTTAATGAACAATCACTTGGAAGCGCTCCGACGGGACATGCGCACCTACAAGTACAGACACAGGCTGAGAAGCCAGAGCTCCGGACCTCGCTTTTGACTTCTTGGAGAACCAGAGACCCTTGGAGAAAAGTCAAGTGACCTCACTGCTTCGTCAAAGAGGGGACCACAGGCTGCCTCACTCCATGCACGTAAGAGAGATCCTGAATATTTCTACTGGTTTCAAGTCTAGTTTCTGTGCAATAGTAACGGCGGAGGAGGTGATGGTGTGCCCTGCTCCTAGCTGTTGAGTGTGAAGTCAGCAGATCCTCCACTGCCCAAGGCTCTAATCTCCCTGGCTGTGTGTATGTAGCAGCACGGGAAGACCAGTGCCTTGTGACAGACAGTTTAATCTTACCTGCCTGCTGTGAGGTATACTCACCATCCCAGAGAATTGCAAAATATAAATTGTCTCTTAACACTGATAAACAGTAAGGAGGAGGAAAAAGCCCTGACAAAATATTACAACTTAATTGTATTTCTCAGCTGGGCTCAGGAAATCTGCTTCCTCCTTAGGCTAATGCTATTTACCAAGTCTCCCAGCCCCATACTAATTATTTCTTTAACCCTTGGTGGGAAAGCACCTTAGCAGGGACTAGGACTGCACTGCCAGGGCAGCTTAATGAGGGCGTCCCAGGTGCGCAGGTTGGGGAGGCTTGCCTTCATTAGGTGCATGAATCACCATGACTTCAGGCTTCTAGCTGTGAGGAGGGGTGCCCTGAGATTAGAGGCTGCTGGGGATGGGGGTGGGGACAAGGAGGCAAGACTTTCTGCTGGCCTGGTTTTCTAGTGCACAGGTGTTTGCAATTCTAAATAAATGTGCAGTGTCAGTACTCAGCAGCCCATCAGCCGAGACTTATAATGAGGGCTGAGCAGGGAAGTAAGATTGGCTCTCTCTGGGCACTTGTCATTATGTTGGATGGACCCAGATTCAGGCCTAATTATGAAAAACGACATTCTGGGAGAATGGAGTTTGGGGGTGTATGAGGAAAGGGAGTGGCCACTTGTCAGACATACTGTTTTGTAGTCTGAAAATCCCCCTTCGTGGAATCTGGAAGCTCCTAATTGTGACCATCGTTGCTTCTTTTTCCACTTTGGGAAGGCTTTTCATGCTTTCTGGAAAGTTTTGAAAGCAAAACAAGAAATCCAACAAATGTGTTTTGAATATTCATTCAGAGAGGCCAGAGGTCCAAGGTAGCTGAAGCCTTTCCGCTTCTCAGAGCGGTGTCATTGGTGACACAGAGGTCTGTGTGTGGGGTCCCAGTAAGTGGGCTGTTTGTTTCACGTGGCTGGACATTCACTCTTGGATTTGCCTGTTTGCTCATTTGCTCATTCACTGCTATCTCACATTTAGACTAGACGCTGAAGTCCTAATTGTTCTGGGTTAAGTAGTGTCTTCTCCAATTCGATGTTCTTTCCTGACCTCAGAAAGTGAACCTACTTGGAAATATGGTCATTGCAAATGTGGTCAAGTTCAGATGAGGCCATACTGGCATGGGGGGGATGTCGATACAGTATGACTGATCTTCTTTATAAGAAGAGACTCAAGGAGAGACACACAAGAGGAAAGACAATGATGATGACAGAGGCAGAATCTGCAGTGATGCTTTTATAAGCCAGGGATCACCAAGGATTGGTGGCAGTGACCACAAGTGGGGAGCAAGTCGTGGAACACTTTCTCCTTCTGAGCCCCCGAGAAGGAACTAACCCTGCCCCTATGTTGGTTTTGGCCTGTGGCCCCATGAGCTGTGAAGGCGTGCGTTTCTCGTGTTTAAAGTCACCCAGTTTGGGGTACGTTGATACGGTAGTCTAGGAAACTCACATTCTTTAAGGCTCCTGGCTAACTCTCCAGCCTCATTTCCTGCCAGTCCCCGTTCTGTCTCAGGCTTTCTGAGTGCTCATCACACATTTGTTGAGCACACACGGTCCTCAGCACCTTTGAACTTGCTATTTCCTCTGCTTGGAACATTCTCCCCATAGAGTACTATGACTTGCTCCCCTAATTTACTTAGTTCTCTTCTCAAATGTCACCTCTTCAGAGAGACCTGCTCTGGCTATCTTATCTGAAGTAGCATCTCTTCTGTCTCTCTTTATCCCCTTTCCCTGCTTTAATTTTCCTCCTAGCACCTATTACTAGCAGACCTCATAGTGTATGTATGTCTATTCCCTCCCACCACCCCCAATTCCCCAACCAGTCTGTAAGCTCTGGAAGGGCAGGGACTTAGTCTTGTTTGCTGCTGTATACCTCTGTAGGGTAAACGGGTTAAAAAATCAGGCTTTTTCTGCCCTTCTGCCATTAGCATCTATGACCAGCACCTGTGCTCTTGCACGCGCACCTGTAATTATGGACAGCTGGGCCCAGAGAGCACGGCACATGCGTGTATGTAAGTGGGGACACATGCACTGAGGGGTGAGGGGATGTAAGGGTGGCATCACTCTGAGGCAGGACGATGATGATGACTACACAGGGGAGAGACAGCCAGAGAAATCCTGAGAGAGAAAGCTGGCCTGTAAAAATCTACAGAAGTCTCCAAAATCATCTTTTCATCTGTGAGAACTGAAAGTGACCCTACCTGGCCTGGGATGGCTGCAAAACAACCTCAATAGTACTTGATGAATAGTAAGTGCCCAGTAAATGGTTTCTGTTAGTATTACTGGGGACTAGGTAACCCAAACCAAATAGTTTCTGCATTCATGGGGCTTGTGTTCGAGCAGGGGGTTCACCTAGATGTAAAGACCACCGGGGAGGAGATTGCATGGAGGAGAGAGTGCATTCTTGGGAGGCCAGGGGAGGATTTCCTGAGCAAGGAATGCTTGAAATTTGATCATGGAGTTGGAGTTGTCCATGCAAGGCATGTGCAATGGCAGTGGAGGGAGTAAGTATGGGTGTGTTTGAGAAAGCGAGACGGCCAGCGTGGCTGAGAGCAGAGCAAGAGTGGCTGAGCGGCAGGGGAGTGATGATTCCAAGTCTCATGAGTCCTGATCCTTACTTTGGGTAACGGGAAGATTTTGAAGAGAGGCAGGAGGTCACAGTGTGCTTGATTTTTGTTCTGCAAAGCTCATTCTGGCTACTGTGTGGTGATTGGGGTGACCAATAGGATGTTGTTGCAGTAGTTCGGAGAGCTTTCTGGAGATGGTGAGAAGAGGCCATATTCAAGAGCAATTCAGGATTCAAAATGGACAGGTGTAGGTGATGGGTTGTAGTTAGGGTGTGAGGAGGAGACAATGGCATCAGGGGTGATCTCCGGTTCCTTCCATGCATAATGGAAATAAAGTGATGCTGTTCACAGAGTAGAGGAACAATGGAGGAGTGTGCATGTGAGAGAGGGGCATGGGTCCCGGGAACAAACCTTGAATCTGTGGCATTGCTGCCTTCGATGCCTTCCACCATCCTCAGTGGAAATAAGGTGGAGATTCTGAAAAGGGTTTGATTCTGAGAAGGCCTGGGCCATGGGGTAGATCAGTGTTCTTCAGTGAACCATGCACTTGGATATGCTTGCCAGTGCTTGGCTAATAGGACACTGGTGATCACAATGCAAGCGGAGGCTCAATGAGTGATTGCACCTTGGGGCTTGTCCTCTTGGAAGATGGAGCCAGCTGTAGAGAGACCCAGTGGAGCACAGAACAGCGAGAAACCACATGGAGAGACACTCTGCATGATGAGAGACCATCTTGGAATTTGCAGCCCCAGCTGAACACCCACCTGTGTGTAGGTACACAAGCGACCACAGCAGCACTGCACGGAGCTGAGCCCAGCCCAGAATCTGGAAGAATAGATTGTTTTAGGCCAGGAGGTTTTTGGTGGTTTGTGATACAACTGTTGTCGAGCTTTCTGGGTGGAGAGTCTCCAAAACAGACATCTCTTAGACCCCTGAAAGCTTGCTTTGGTACCGCTTCCTTTCCTCTGACTTCTGTCATAGCCTTGGAGAGGCTGTCTGTCTCAGGGGTGCAGGTGGCACCAGAGGTGATTATGGATGAGATGGTGCATGCTCTCCTGTCTTCCTTCTAATTTTCCTTTACTCTCCCTTCCCTGTTCTATATCCATGCCTGATTTTCCTCACTTCCCTCCTGCCTCTTCCTCTTTCATAGCTGTAGCTGTGGTGAAACAGCGGAAGGCTGGTTCAGGATATGCATCATCCCCACCCCCATGTTTCTTTTGTCCCCTATCCCAGCTTTGGAGCCAAATTAGGTCTCCTTTGTCTTTTTTTAATGAATGGGTTTAGCCACCTTAAGCTGGCTATTATATTGGACTGAAAATACTGTTTGCAAGCCATTGTCAACCAAGACCCAGGACCATCAAGGACACCTCCTTAATTATGTGTCATTAATGATGTACATGCAGCAGTTAGGGGAACATCGTGGATCCATTTCCCACTTTAATTCTGTGCTGTGTTATATGAAACGCTAATGAGTCCAGAATTCTCAAAGGTCATAATCTGAATACATTTCCTTTTCTTCTTTTTAGGGGACTGGAGATAGGATTCAAAACAATTAAAATGAAATTTACTTCATCATTTGGCTAACAACATTCTCTACTAATTACACAGAGATATGTATTCATTTGCTGGTCATTTGGACAGATCTGAGTGTCTGGTTACTTGTAAGGCCTGCATCTCTGAATTCTATACAGGAATTTTTTTTTTTTAGCTGCTCACCCCATTGATTATGAGAAATAAATGGAAAAAAAAAAAGTCCACCCAAACCCTTACAATATGGAAAGTGCAAATTTAGCAGAATCAGCATTGAATTTTCCAAGGAGTCATTTATCATCCTTAGAAAGTTTTGGTTCTTTGCAAATAAAAAAGAGAAAGGAATGGTAATTGCTCTGCTCAGCTAATTGACAGAATTGTGTCAGAAAAAGGAGGCATTTCAACACTGCTTCCAATGATGACATTTGAAGGTTGTTCCTATTCTCTCTTCGCTGCTAAATTAGGTAATCATTATTTCCCTGTGAATCTTATTAATCTAATGCTTGCTTCTCCCCCACCTTCCATTAGATTTGAGATTCCGACAGAAATGTGAAAATGAAATGCCGAAGGTCAGGTAATAGTTTGGCCAGTTGAGGTTGTGTTTCCCAGTTTTGTGGCTCAGGGCAGAAGTGGGAGAGCCTCAGAGGGAGTGAGCTTAAACTGCAGACAGGGGAACTCAAACC